ACACTCCTTGGGAATTATCACAAGAATGTTGGCAAGATATCTCGAATGAAAATGGAGAAATTTATTTTCCAGAAATGAAGAAGTTTGAATACAACGGTCGAATCACCAAAAACCCATTCGATGTGCATTCAACATTTCCCAAACTTGAAATTTTCAAATTGGTTGGTGAAGTGGACGACATAAACTGCTTGGCAAATGTGCGACACCTGAAGGAGTTATCACTTAACACTGATGAATCATTAGGAGAAGATCAACTAGTACACATTATCGCAAATAATAAACAATTAACTAAGCTCTCACTTTCGGGTCAATATACAATAAGAACTATCCGCTCGATTGACAAACATTTAAAAAACTTGAAAACATTTAATGTCAACAATGTTGGAAAGGAATTTTATGCTCCACCAACAAATGAGGTGTATAATTTTACATCAGTAACTAGTTTCAGTGCAACCGTTAAAGAATTGGATGATTTATATGGAGATATTCCATTTGACATGCCCAACTTGGAAAATCTCGATTTGGATAGCGGACGCGACATTTTTTCCGATACTTGGTTTGATCATCGAATCACCAATTTTATCAATCGCTTCCATAAATTGGAAACTGTATTTGTGGAGAGATTAATTGAAGATAGTTACATGAATTGTATTGAATCGTTAACTCATGTTAAAGAATTTGCTGCAATTATTTTTGGTGAAATTCAACTGTCATCGTTGACAGTATTCTTTGAAAATTTTGATAAAACAAAATCAAATTTGGAAACCATAAAGATTTTTAATTTTTATGATTCCGAATACCCTCTTTATAAAGAAAAAATGGACGAATTAAATAATCACTTAAAGGAGTCTATGAAACCAACATGGCAAATATCTTATGAACATGGAAAGCGGTGGAATACAAATACACCATATTACTTGAAGTTTGAACGTGATCCATAAATTCAAGAGTAATCAAGTTTCCTTTTCAATTTCAAAACTTCGTTAAAAATTAGTTTAAAAAAAATATTTGAGTTTTAAATTCTTAAAAAAGTAAGTTTTCTTAATAATTTATCTATTATTTACTTAATAAAAGGAATTGTAAATTGAAAAATATTTTGTTAATATATTCTTTAAATAAGTAATCTTCATAATACATAGTATTTCCTCATTTAATCCATACATTTAAGCATCGCGAGGTTGTTCTATTCCAATGAACGAGAAAAATTGAGTCGGTATTTGTTTGTGGGGATTTTATGGTTTCACTTGCATTTTGGATTACTAACTATGATCGATTTCCGTCCGTTCGAAGTATGACCGAAAAATGCATAGTTGATTTAAAAAAATGGGTTAGATCAAGGAAAATACGAACCAATATACGAGCAATACCGCATAGGTGGCAAAAATATGTGCGATGAAAATCCGAATTCACTGGAGGTATTTTAAGCGAAAAATTATTGCCGCATTGTTTGAACATTGTATGCCGTATGTGTGTTTTTTATCATGCCACCAAAGCATTTTCAGCAGAATACCAGGTGTATCTTAATGACTTTTTCGACGATATAATTCTGTTGTACGCTCCATAACCGTGTGCGAGCGTATTTATTGATTTGTCGAAACTGGTACAATGTGTTTATAAGTAAATTTGGTCGCATTTTACGCTGATTCTTTCTCCATTTTTTTTCTTCTCTACGATTGAATACGATAAATCTAGTGTGCTTTTTGTTTCAATTTTCTTGTTGCTTTCAACCAGAGAAACTCGAGCGAAATCATGCATCTATGCATTTAGCAAAATATGCGCGACGCTCATAAATTCCACTGCAAAAAAGTAACAGCATAAAAAGCGCATCGCGCCATAAACTTGATGTTCTACAGCATACCTAATCGCTTTTATCCTGAATTTTCTTCTGTGTATGCCATAAAGTGATATCCATTTGATGGTTCTGGTTTTTATCATATACACATTCCACGAACATAAACATTAGTGTGGATAACGAACAAAGTGAAGTAAAGCGAAGCGATAGGGAATGAGTGAAAATGTGTACAAAGTGTCGGTGTCCATTGAGCATGTGTTTCGTGCATGTGTGTGTGTGTATTAAAGTGTCGTATACATATCTTTGGTCGAGCATGAGGTGAGAATGTTATTGTTGCTACGTGAGAAGCAAAAATGCATTTCAATTACGATTTCAACGACAACGTTGTCGGAGGATGTTATGATCCAGTTCGCTTTTGCCCTCAGACGTCTCGCAGTTACGCAACCGACACAAGCACTGAAAGCGATACAGGCTAGAGAGAAGGAAACACAGGTAAAAAAACAAGTATTTGAATGGACGATAGCTTACACGATTATTACGTATAAAATCAGTCCATTGCCCATTTATCTCTGTGTAAAACGAACTATAAATAGCTGAAACTAGATGGATAAAGCGGAAAGTGACAATAAAACAAGCAACATTTCAGTTGCTCTTGCTACAAAAGAGAAACAGAGAATGTGGAAAAAAAGTGAGCTGAACGGCTTAATGCCCAACTAAGTCAACAAAGAGAAAACACGGAAATAAAGCAAACGGCAACGATTTAATGATGGAATATGGAACTTTTCAATGCATGTGGATTTTAAAAACACTAATTCGTTTTCATTCCACGCAACAACTGTCGGAAACAAGTGAGCTACACTGACGACGAAAACGACGAAACTTGTAATAAAATGAGGTAATAAACGAAATTAAATTTTTTCAAAAAATGTTATAAAACATTCCATGTGTTGACAAGCATTCTTTCCTCTTGCTTTGTTCGAGCATTTATCTCAGTCGTAATCGCTCGAAAATGTGTGTATATGTTTTTAAAGCCGTTTGAACTTGTTTACATTGTCGGTTGACATCTTTTTCTTTTTGACCATTTTGTTTTTGGGGCAGATGGAAAGAGCGCGAAAGTCACATACAAAAAAATGAACAACATTTATAACATGTTTGTTGTAATACAAATCTCAGGAATTTGATGCCACAAAACATTAAGTTCTGTGTGTGTGTGTGTGCGCCCTGGAAACTCGTGACTAAGTTTCCGTATGATGCTTTTTGCCTGCTTTATGTGTACCGTGCAACAAGATACATTCCGTGCACGGAATCTCGGCTCAATGAACGGTAAATTGATTAGTATTAAGTTTAAGCCCAAACATAAAGAAATTTATAGCGATGACGATGCATATTTTTTTCTTCGTTTCCCCTTTTCCCTCGCTGTCTTTCTCAGGCATCCTATCCATTCATTTGGGTCATATAAATATCATAAAAACGTGGTGCTGCTTTTTTATGTTGTTTATTTAAACGAAAAGCGAATCAATTGCGATATTTCTCTCATGCCCGTCACACACATGACCATTATGGCTCTCGGCGGATTTCTAGCAATAACACCCTTTCGGTACGAACGTGGAGAAAAAATCAAGGCAATAAATATGCGGTGAATGCACATTTTTTCTCGGATTTTGTTAATATATTTCAAGGGGAGCGAAAGAAAAAACAGAACATCCATTCACACCGATTAATCCATGCTTGGCTTTTAGTTTCATTGGGCTGTTTTAAGCAGAATCAAAGTGCATTAAAATTAGTTTGCAAACAAATGAAATAGCCCAGAGCTGAAAAAAAATGTTTTAATTTGACTGTAAACAAAATCATTGGTTCATGCTCAGGAATTGAAAGGCCGGAGCGCTATCGAGTTTCACCGTATACACTCAAATTGATGTCCATTTGAGTGACAGGATGAAGGTAAAAAAATGAGAATCAACTCATTCGAACAAATTAAATTATTAAAATCGCTTAATTGTTTTTGCGATACGCTGAATTCTTTGGGCGACAAAATTATATGGTATATATTACAGACTTTTAATTAATTTAATTTTCGGTTCTTTTTACTATTATTTGTTCTTAGCGTGAGAATAAATAAACATATCATTTTCGATTACCTTCTCGCATTTTTTTTTTTTTCATTTCATTCCACACAGAAGCGCGCACCACATTTTTTGGCTTGTTCTGCAACATAAAAGGAACACAGAAGGAAGCAAATAAAATGAAATCGAGGCTAAAAAATGGTGTGATATATCAGTGTTTGCAGCTGATGCAACTGTTTAAAATTGAATTTTTATCAAGAAGAATCAAATATGGTGAAGCTGTGTATTTAAAGCTCGTGCAATGCACAATGGCCCGAATAATTATGCCCGCTGCGGGCAGTTCAATCAGCATCATCAATAAATAAAACAATTTACAAAATGCTGGCGCACGAGAAAAAAACCGTTGAAGCCAAAATTAAGCAACAAACAAAGCGAGTGAAAAAAAACTGCGGTGAAAAACCGTAAATTATTGTTTGGTTGTGCTATCTCAATATTTACACGCCGAAGCTAAATATGTTGATGGAATTTGTGTGTACCCCCAGACGTGCATATTTTTTTGCAACGAAAACACGCAATGGAGTGGTTTGTTTTTTTAAGTACATTTTATACGATCGTTTACATTATTAAATCTACTAAATAGGTGTTAATGTATAGTAATGAAGAACAAAATCAGTAAAAAAAAATGAGCTCCAAACAACAAAAAATACGTGGAAAAACTTACACCCTTATTCTTTGGGAAAAAAAAAAACGAAGCCGAAGAAATGATGAGAAAGAAGAGCGAACTGTCTGTGATAATTAAGTGTAAATTCATCTTCACAAAGAACTCATTCTCTTTCGCAATTTTGTGTGAAAGAAAACTATTCCTTTCATAATAGACTGCAGTCTCGTTTTTTACGACTACGTGCGAGCAGTTTCGAACAAAGTTCTGCAATCTCGTTAAACACAAGTTTCTATTAAATCCTTTCAAATGGAGAATTCAGACGGAATCAATTTTCACAGCATCAACCGAGCGAAAGGAAAATAAAGTGTGACAGGGGACAAGAACTGGAGGAAGAGTAGTTAAGATGCGATAGAGAGCACGATTTCTATTGTAAGTCCATCACATATACGCGGTACGCCTGTCTCGTTGATGATG